GGGCAGGGGGCTGGACTCGATGATCTTCCGAGGTCCCTTCCAGCCCTAATGTCTATGAAATCTATGAAACTAGGGGGTGGGGAGGGCTAGTGGAGGGGGGAGGGGATCATGGTGGGCAGGGGGCAGGGGACCCACCCCTTCTGAGCAGCCCTCCCCATAGTCCCCCCCACGATCCACCCACACCTATCCACACACCCCACAGCCCCCTGCATCCCTCCACAGCCACTCATATCCCCCACCCCTCTTCCCATCCCCCTCCTGCAAACCCCATATCCCCCCAGCACACACCCTACATACCCACCTGCCAGACAGGATGAGACCTGCTGGCAGGAGCTGTGGCTGCAGGGGCAGCTGTCCTCACATTCTGGTTAGCGAAGGGGTCAGGGGGAGCTCTAATTGGTCTATAGTAAGAAAACCAAAGGCAAACAGGCAAAAACGTATAGGTATTTAGAATTCATTTTATTATGATGATAGACACACAGGTTGGCTTCCAAATTGCTTTAACACTGCAGATATATCAATAAAACATTGCCCAACTGATTACTGTCTCTCTGACTGTATATATAGTAGTCTTCCATTTTAATTGTAGAAGAACATGGATTTCGGGGTATTTTACAGAGTGACTTTTGGGATTTTTTTTATCAGGGATTTTTCAGTTTTCAAGTAGGGAACACCAGAATTCCTGTTACGGAGGCAAGTAGCAGGACCCAGGCAGAGAAGCCTGTTCAGAGCTGGCACCTTGGGCTTAGCTAGAGGTGGCTTACCAGTTAGGGTCAGGAGAAAATGCTTTAACAGTTCAAAGCAGGCCACCACACTGAGAACATCTTCTGGGCAATAGCTGCTCAGATGGCCAGGAAGGGGCACACATGGCAGTAGTGCCTCACAAAGGCCAACTCTGCAGCCACGGCCCACTGGCAGGCCGCCCCACGGGGCAGATACCTCTACTGGCTTGGCTGTGCAGTCCTCATCCCGGTCTGGCAGGTGCGCAGCAGGTCACAGCCAGGCAGCAGCCCCTGCTACCAAAGTGCTGCAGTGGGTAAAGGGTGCAGGGAACTCTCAGAGCTGCTTCAGCAATCCAGCTGGCACAAGGGGTAGTGTCCCCAGGTACCAATTGGCCAGGCCCCAGAAGCTCCTGAGAGCGAGTAGCCCTGAGCTACTTGCCAGGGCAGCTTTTTGTACTGATGGGGCTAGGACAGGGCAGCTTTTTACACTGCTGGGGCCAGCACAGGTGCTGACCCCAGACTTCAGCTCTCCCTGCCTGCAGATCTGGGAGGAGCCAGACAGAGTTATTTTGCCCCAAGTAGCACAACTTGCACCACACCAAAGTGTGTGTCCGGGCACACACACTGAGGCAAAAAGCCCTGGCTCAGATTTGCACACCTTCTATTTGAGCTGCTGCAAGCGCACGTGCTTGCATGTGTGGACGTGCCCTAAGAGGCTTATTTGCTAACATTTTTAATTTTCCTCTAAAGATCGATTTCTAATCCATATACAACCATTACTTGGTTTGGAACAAAAGGTTCATGAATACAGCATTCTGGTTTTCTTTGTTTTGTTCCTGTTTGGGTTTTTGGGGGGTTTTTTTTGCATATGTAGAAAAGATGGAAAACCTAGAAGTTTGAGTTTGTTCTTAAATGCCTGCTTAACTTAATTGCAGGGGTGTAGGTTCATTTGAGGTTTTATGGTCTCTCTTGCCATATTAACCCCAAATCTTAAAGATACATTTTTAAGATAATTGGCTACATCATTTGTTTGTTCTTAAGCTTTCTGTTACCATTTATAGTCACGCTCAAATTTACTTCTGTCCTTCCTTCGGAAGTAGGCTTCAGTGTTACATTGTGAACTAGGTTAAGCATGATGAAACCCATTTGTCATTATGCAAAGATATAAGTGGACTAATAATCAAATCTAGGTACAACTTAACTATTCAGCACCATCATAATGTTACATAAAACTGAGCTCTTTACATAACCTAGTTGCTTTACAATGAGACTAGCATTTTGGTTCCTTCACATTTTCTCTCTCTAAACTCTCCACTCCTCAAATATTTCAAAGCATTCAGGTATATTAGAAAGTAGATGATGTTCTTTAATATAAAGCCAACTAAATTCCTTATGCCAAAATTAATTTTGCCTTATGTTCTGCTACTAAGTGGGCAGCAGCTAATGTGAAAGAAGAATTAACTTGATACTAGAAGCACGGTTTGCTTTCTTCTATACATTACATTAAAACAAACTTTTCAATTTATTTTTTGCTACCCTAATGATTGTTGATTACATTTTGATTCTCTGGGTTGCTGATTCTAGGCATGAAAAGATGCACTTTAGTTCTGGATCATTATTTTCTGACTGACCTAATTTTTACCTTTTTAGGATTTTGAAGAGGCTAACAATAGTTCTTTTTTTATTACATTTAGGATTGGTATCCAATCTCTTGCTCTGGAAAAGTTCTAAGTAAAACTGGACTGCTGTCCTGTATGTTATTGGATGGGCATAAAAATCACTAACTGGCACTATATAGCTGAGTTGTCGAGGAGAAAATAAGGGGAAAAATAGCACAAATGTAGTTGTATCTATATTGTATTAATATATGTTTTAGCTATTATATTTTGAGGATGCATTATACTTTGTGACTAAAGTAATAATGCTAACACATCTGATTATTTTTAGCTTGCGTAGAATATTCCATCAATGCTTTAAATGTGAGGTATGACAATACTTTTTTTATTTCTAGCCTAGCTGTCCATCCTGATAGGATCACCATAGCAACAGGTCAGGTTGCAGGAACATCTAAGGATGGAAAAGTGAGTAAACTGTTTTTTTAAATAATATTTCATAAGAGTATGTCTTTGTTCTAGCCCTGGTTGCACTTCTGTAGTTAAAGAGATAAGCTTCTTTTGTGCTGCAATTAAGCCTCTCTTGAATTTTAAAGAAATAAAAATGCAAGATCTGTGTTCTTCCTTATTGTACTGTCCCAAGATTAGCTAGTAATAGTATCAAGTTCAATCTGTGGCTTTTCATCCTGCCTGACTCTAGCTCTGTTCCATACAGCAGAGGCATAACTAGGAAGTTTTGTGCCTTGGGTGGGCATAGGTGCATGGGGATGTTGTGGTGATGGCAGTGGCCAGGCCTGCAGTGCAGTGGCTGCTGTTTTTGCACCCAGAGGCATAACAAGGGAGTCGGGTGCCCAGGGCAACTGTGACAGATGGGGCAGTCGCAACTTCCAGCTGCCACCTTGCTGCCAAAACAATTGTGTGGCTGTAGTGGCCCAAGTCAGTGTCTGGGGCAGCTGCTTCAGTCACCCTGCTACCGTGTGCACCCCCTGACCACCACCTAAGTTGGTGCCCAGGGCTGGTGCCTCAGTTTTTCCCCTTTAATTACACCAGTGCTATATAAGTTCTACAAGGTTTGAGAGAGAGGCTCCAGAGGAGAAATGGGAGCATGCTACGATCAACAGGAATCTGTAAAAGGATAAGAATGGGAGGATCATGGAGGACAGTGACAGAGGAGAGTGGTGATTTCTGTTTGGATGAGTTGCACAGTACATGCAACTTTACCTTTGACCATTGTGACCAGCTGTTGAACAGAAAACACAGCACCATACTACTTAGCAGCATCTAAACCATACTATTATTGTTGTTCAGATTATATCCATTTTGATATGTGTTGTACAAACACAGAACAAAAGATGGTCCATGCTCCAAGGAGCTTTCAATGCAAGTATAAGAGAAGAGATAACAGGTGGATATAGGCAGATGCAGGAGTACAAGGAGCCATTGAGACCATATTGGTCAGCATGATGTTTGGTGGTCTCAGCACACCAGCAGCTTCAGTGCTGCCAAGTTTTTGGTAGGCATCATGGCAAAATAGTTTTTTGAAATGTGAAGGAATTATCCATGCATGTGGAGGATGTGGTAATGTGAGGAAAGCAGTCTCTTTGTTGCACTTTTTAAGGATTGAGTAAGGACTAATCACATGAATAACTTTAGCTGGATTTTAATAGGATTTTATGTTCTTTGGTAATATTATCCAAGCCTCTGGGGATTAGGGTGGTGTGGGTGCTAAGGTGCACAGTTGACAGCCTAGAGGTCACCAGTTTGAGGCCATAGCAGAACTGTTCACAGTGCGGCTTGTCACATTTCAACGAATCTGTGAATTCTGTTAAGTACCTTGTCACAAGGACACAAGAAAGGAAAGGAAAGAAACCCAAGGGTGCCTATACATGAGCCGGGGGGCTGCTCCAACACACTGTAATTACAGTGTGTTGGAGCAGACTCGATTAATTGAGTCTGCTGGAACATGGTAATTACCATGCTCCAGCCAGCCTCTGCATCTTGTGTATCAGCGTCCCCACGCTTTAAAATGGTGGGGTGCTTTAACTAAAGCTCATTCAACAAGCTTTAGATAACGTGCCCCCCTTATCCCTACCATTTTGAAGTGTGGGGATGCTGATGCATGAGGACTAGGGACAGAAGGTACACATAAACTGGTTTAAGTGATCAGAAACTGGTTTAAACCTGTAACAAAACATAAGTTCAGTGCACATAAATCAGTTTCAAAATAGGTGAAACTGGTTTAAGATGTATCACAACCCAAGGGTGTGATTTTGTTTGTGTGCGCTTCGGCACTGCTAAATTATTTCGCGCCACTCGGAGCTTTCTTTGCAGGGTGCATTTCTCAGTTGCAAAGAGAAATGCATGGTGCAAAGGAGTTCCCACCACCCGCATGCAAATTTGTGTCCCACTGTTGGCCAGTTCTAAATTATTCCCACGTGGCGGCTAGCAATTGGCTTGCTAGCCATATAAGAGGCTTGAGCGGTTTCCGCCCAAGTTGGAGAACTCCGAGGAGAACCCCACAAGGGAGGACTCCACAACCATCAGGAGGAGGAGGACTTCACGTCTCGTGAAGAACTGTAAGCGCTGCGGAGCCTATCGGACCCAGCGTATACCTTGAGAAGGCTATAGGGGTCTGATCAACCTCTGGCCTCTCCCCGTCACCGAACGATCCTTCAACGAACCCCTTCCCTGCGCGCAAGTTCCACGGAGCCTAGCAAACTTCGTGTGAGTGAATCCAGAGCTCTTCTCCGAGTTGTTTTCTTCGGTTGACGCGACGGGCTCGCGTGTTTAGAGCCTTCAACCGGATTGGGCTAGAGTTCGTCAGATTAGAACTCTTGTCCGCTCTTCTTTCCTATCTGTAACTGCAACTCAAGCAAGTTTTCCTGCCTGCACCGCAACCATCTACGGTGTAAGTAAAATAATCTTTAATCAACCGCTAAGCGTCCGTGCCTAATTCTAGTCCACCGGCCTGCATTCCCTGACCCGTGTGCCAGGGCTGCTGGCCACAGCCCGCCGCGCACCCCCGAGGGCCTCGGACCGCTCCCGGCCCGCACAAGATGAACCTGGTTGAATGTAGTATCAGACTTAACTGATTTGGGTCAAACCAGTTTATGCAACTTCTGTCCCAAGCCCCTTCCTGATTTTAAGTTAAACCAGAGTCCTCCAGTATCCCAGATGCTTTGCAGCTCTGGGCGAAGCTGTGCTCTGTTCCAGAGAGCAGGGCTGGCCCCTCGCCTCTGCTCTCTAGCCTGAGCAGGGGCGGGAGCATGGCCAGATGAATGGCCCCCTGAGGCAAAGGGAGCAGGGAGGGGGTTTATTCCCCCACCCTTCTACTGGGGGGACTGCAGCCCCAGTCAGCCATTCTCCCTCTCCACACTCCAGTGGCAGGGGAGGCTGAGCTGGCCTGAGAGTGCTGCTGAGGGTGGAAGCAGAGGGGCCAGTCCAGGCTGGGCCACTGGGGCTGGGCCCTTCTCAGCGGGCTGCAGTCCAGGCTGGAGCTGTGGGGGCTGCATGGCTCCCTGCACCCAAGCCGGGTGCCTGTCGTTGAGCCCCAGCCAGCTGTGAAGGGCACTGCAGCGCCGGTCCATGGGGGCAGGGCCCTTCCCAGCCTGCTGCGGCTGTGCGACTGCCTGGTCTGGCAACATGGGTGGGGACTGGCTGGGGAGCTTCCTTGGCCACCTTAGAGGCACTGCCGGACCTCAAGCCCGGCAGCTACCCCTGCGCCCCTGTCTCGTGCAGCACTCTGGGCTGCAGGTGCACAACCAGCTTCAGGCTGATGAGAACCACGGGAGCTGTTCTGCTCTCCTTGCCTCCAGCTGTTGTTGCTGCAGCTGCACCACGCTGCTTTGGATGTGGGGAGCAGGAAGCTTCAGCCCCCTGGCTTCTTCCCAGTGCATGGAGCTCGTGCTCCTGTTCCCAGATGCCTTGGAAGGTGGAGGGTGTCCGGGGCTGCTGCCAAAGCTCCACGCGCAGGGCAGAAACTGCCAGGCCCAGCAGGGCTGTTTTTCTCCATTCACCTCCAGCTGTGGCTCCTATTCCTGCCTCATGCTGCAGCCCTGCTTAGGGCTGTGGGAGTTTCTTTCAGCTTGGTGTCTTCAACCTGAGCTGGGCTGAAGCAGCCAGGCTGAAGGAAGCTCCCCTTGCCCCAAGCAGCACTGTGTGGTGCAGCAGGAGCCATAGTTTATTCCCCAGCCTTTATTCCCTCCAGCCTCGTGGCTGTTGCCAAAGGAAAGGGAGGGCTGCTCTAGCGCCCTGCCCCTGGCATCGAAGCCTGAGCCACTGCAGGCATGTGTCTGTATTTCCAGAATTAAACATGAATGTCTGTGCACTTGCAAATCAGTTCAATTTTTGCAGGTTAGACTAACCTGCAAAGATTGAATCAATTCAGGCTCCAGTTTTTGAATGTCTGTTTCTAGCGCAGGTTCACTGGGTGCTGTAATTAGAGCGGCTCTGAGAGCTGCTCTAATTATAGACCCCTCCACAGGCTACTGGTAGAGGGGACATGGGAGGGGCATGTGCCCCCCCAAAAAAAATTGGCCCCCAAAAGTGCTGGGGGGGCCCTTTGATGCACCCCAACTTGGCACCGCTCTGGACGGGGCCAAGTGTGGAGTGGATCCCTGCCAGCCCAATTGTACGGCCAGGGACATTTTTTAAATGCTCTGGTTCTATACCCAGCCCCACCCTCCCTGACTGCACTCAGGAGCCCGGACCATCAGAGAGCGCTCCGACCAACCAGAGTGCTGCCCCGCCTCCCTCCCCTGCACGGCCCCTCCCCCCACCACCTGTAAAGAGCGTGTTCTGATCCCCCAGCAGAGGTGCTGTTCCTGCTGCTGGGAGAAAGGTAAGCCTGGGGCTCTTGCGGGGGAGAGGGGAGCGGTCCAGGGAGTAGTGGGGGGAGGTAGTGGTGTGCTGTGCCCCCCCAGACATAAGAGGCACCAGTCACCCATGCCCCCCCAGCATGTGTAAACACACCCCAAGATTCTGTCCCTTGAACTTTGTTTCTGTGACTGTGTGACTTTGTGACCTGAGGAAGGGCATATTTTATACCCAGAAAGGTGGTTTGTCCCAAATACATAGTTGATTCCAATGCCATTACCAAACAGACCTGCTTCTTTTGTAAGATTTTTTTTTAAATATTTATTTATGGATTATGATCGATAAGAGACCAAGGATAATGGTTGCTAATCTTTCTCAGGCACTGGAACTTTAGTTTTCCTCTCCCTCTCTATCTTGCACACACACGTGTGTACATGCACTGCAGAGTTTGGTTTTTATTGTATAGATTAAACAGATTTTGTGCTACTGTTCCCATTTGCCTTCACATGATACTTTAAATCACCATACATTTACAAGGACTGCCCTCTAGTGGATTTAAGAAGCATTTCTGTCTTCATGATATTTGTATTACCACAGATGGTGGTTAGAAGACCATTTAAAAAATGTAAATTTGATTTGAAAATAATTCTGTTTTGGTGGTTTCCATATACCAGATTGATTATGGCTGAAAAAAATTGGTTATGATCACTGTTGTAAGAAGGAAGACTGATGATAGGATCCTTATCCATAATCAATTTTAGGCTGTTGAACTGAAATGGGTTGTCAGGTTTTTTCCAGTTTTAAAAATGAAGATGATCTTTACAGAGATGGTCTCAACTGTTGTTTCAATTTGTTTTACAGCAATTACCACCCCACGTACGTGTTTGGGATTCTGTTACTTTGAATACTCTCCATGTCATCGGAATGGGTTTTTTTGACCGTGCTGTCACCTGTATTGCTTTTTCTAAATCTGTACGTAAATGCATACTTTCATCAAATTTGTGTGCCAAACATAATTAAGCTATTTTAAGTGAAACTTTTCCTGATGGATTTGATGGCCAATCAGGCAGATGGAGCCCATGTGTTACCTAGGTTCCTATGCTAGTCTCATCACAGAACTCTTACGTACCTTTAAGCTTCCCCTGGTCTCATTATTTTCTCTCCTTCACATATTTTTCTGGGCATAGACTCCCTGTCTTCTGCCTTTTCACAGGGATGAGATCTTGTAGCCTAACTTCCCCAAGCCAATTGCGACAGCTCTGACCTTCCCACAGCTTACAAATATCCCAGACTTCCACAACATGGATACCCTGGTATTCAGTTTACCTCTTCATAAAGAAAGCAAACAAACACACTAGCTTTCCAAGTGGTCAGAAGGCTTATTTACTCTTTACCTAGCAAAATAAATCTACAGGTCTAAATAAATAACACATACCTTTGTGCAGTCCCCAGTCTGTGGTACTTTATCACTCTTGCATATTCTTTGGGTTTAGTTTAAGGATAGTGAGTCCAGGTTCCTCCTTTTTCTCCTGCCTGTCCTGTACAAGTTTTGCCTTTCAGAATAAGGAGTTGCTTCTTTCAACAAATTTTGTTCTATACTTTTTTCTAAAAAGGTGAGAGGTTTTTTTTATAAACGCCAGTTCTCGTTATTACATGGTACTAAATTTGACTGAATGGCAGTCAAATTTGTCTGCCTTTGCTTAGTTGACTTCTAAACTTAGAACTCAGACTAGAAAAACCAGTTTGCCTTGGACAATAGCTAGATCTTATTGCAAGGAATGTGAATAGAGAACGATCGAGGATTAACAGTCCTCTTCTGTAGGAGTACACCAATTAAAGATGTCTTGGGCTGATACCAATGGCCGATTATTGAACAGCCACATTGGTTGATACTGATCCGATTGCCAATAGGCAGCCTGGCAGCTTGGAGAGCAGCGTCCAGCTGGGGGGGGGGTGTTGGGACAGGGGCCTGGGAGAGGGAAGGGGCATGCGGGGGGAGAGCAGATCGAGACCCCCATGGTGAGGGAAGGTGTGGAGCTGGGGCAGGGGCAGGCGCTGCCCAGCTGGACGCTTATGGGGTGTGCTGGGCTCTTTCAGCAGCTGTGCTCGGGTGGGTCTGGCAGCGGTGGTGCTGGGAGGGGAGGTTACAGGGTGGGCTAGAGCCACCACTACAGCCCCCCCGTAGTCTCCTTCCCAGTGCTGCTGCCGCCCACCCCATCCTGCCTGCCCCTGCCTGATCACAGCCGCCGGGAAGAGCCTGACACAGCCCCTAAGCGTGAGAATGCAGCGGTAACCCGCCCTCAGCTTGCACACAGATCTGGGGGGCATATGCCCCCCATGCCACCCCCAGGGTGCACGCAGTGGCGGGGGGCCCCCCGCCCCCCCCCCCAACACG